TAGAGACAGGGTTTCACCATGTTGACCAGGATGGTCTTGATCTCTTGACCTCGTGATCCACCCGCCTCGGCCTCCCAAAGTGCTGGGATTACAGGCGTGAGCCACCGCGCCCGGCCTACTCCAGTATTTTAATCACATTTCTTCACCAATTTAACAGATCAAGTAGAATTCATTATTATTATATTGATCAAGATGAAGATTACTTTTAGAAAAGTTTTATTCACTCTTATCTCCCTTCCCTTTCTACCCATACCAATACCACACACATGTAAATTATTATTTCTCTACTAAAAATAAAACAGCTCAGAGGAATAGGGAAAGAACTGGCAATGAAGTATTTCATTTAATAGTCAGTTATTCTCTTTGGCATGGCTAAGACAAAATGTGGCTTCAGTTTCCCTTGACTAGAAAGGCCATTCATTGAACTGCTTCGATAGGCTAAAATGGGTTTTAAAGAAATTATGATACAGCACTTAAAAATAATGTGATAGATATATGCATTCTAACCAAAGTGAAGAAAATAATTGAGTGATTATATTTTACAGGTCTTTCCACTCTACTTTTGGTTTGAGTCCACAAAATCCACCTGTATTCTCATTATACTATAATCATAATAATCACAAATAATCTACCATTATTGGAAGTGCTGTCAAAGGGACAGTGAGTCTGGCCAGCCCTACAGGAGAGTAGTTTAAATCTTATCATCAAATCTGCCTAAACATCAGCATTATTTACTTATACTTTACTCTTTAAAGGAACTTAAAATTATTCATGTTTTGACTGTAGACTCATCAAAAGTAATAATGTTGATGAAATTGGCATTATAGTAATAGCCCCTACAATTATTCCACATACAATCAATGGTACAGGCAAAAATAAATAGCAAAAATAGATTATCCTATATAATTTTTCGACTCTATTTCTTTGCCATAGGAAAAAAATCAATGAAAATATACTAGCATAAGTTTAAAAACACAGATTAATGTTCAATTTAACGTCACGCTTGCTAATTATGCACTGCAGTGTTACATATAAGCTTTAAAATTTTTGAACAAAGGCAGCTCAGTTGATATATTGAACCTGAAAGACTCATTGTTTCAGTCTCATATTGGTAGATTAATGAGCTGTGAGGAAGTTGTAATTTATACCAAATGAAGGTGTATGGTATGTATACAAAGGAAAGGCTGACTAAAGATTCTACTTGGAGCCTATCTTCCCAGGCACAAAAAGCCTTTGTGGTTTCTACAGTTGATAAGAGTTAAAAGTGACCTTTTACTTTTCTAAGAAGTTATTCATATGCATGGGAGAAGATAAAGGCAAAATGTGGTTCAATATGACAACTCCACTACTTGTGTTCTATAGAAAAATAATTATACTTTGGCCTCTTTACTTGAATTGATCCATTCTCTCTACTAAGTGTATTCCATTCCTTCTGCAATAAAGTTTCAAATTATCTGCCTTTGCATGCTGAAAAAGGTAGAGCCCATTAGAATTTATTGTTTCTGAAAGCAGATGTCATCAAAACTCAGAGTTAAGCAGATGAATGAGCTTTCAGTGATATAAATTATATTAAAGTTTCACTGTCATCATGAACTCAAATTATCCAGACTTTATCTATTAATATCAAATTCTGTAATTCTCCTAAATGTTCATTGTTTTCATGATAACTGGATATGAGCTCTTCTTTGTATACAATTTCTTTGTAAAATATAGTTATCTACAACACTAGGTGCAACATTCACTTAATAAAGTTGACAACAATACAATAACAAATGATAGAAAAGAAGGTATGTATTCTAACCACTTTGTCCTCCTTTGGGAAAGCATCCAAGGAAGCAGAGTAGAGAAAGAAGAAAAAGAAGAGAAAAACAAAAATGAGCCATGTATTAATAGATTGGTTTTAAGAAAACAATTATGTGTTTCTTCAAAGTATTAAAGCACAGCTATTTTGAAAAGTAACTGTTTACCTAAAAAAACAGTCATTGTTAATCCTTCATTGAAAATGCACACATTATGCGTCGTGCTGTATGTTAGATACAAGAGTTAGGCACAATAATTTCCCAAATTTTGACAACTTGGATTAGTAAATCTAGATTTAAAATATTCTTCATAAAGAAGGTTAATTCACTACCACACATAGCCTACCTATAATTGAAAAATAGTTTATTAAAATGCATGAAATTGTATGAATAATTTTGTCAAATTATTGTTAAAATATTCATAGTCACAATTTGGGAAAATCTAAGAATGAGAAATATTTGTAATAAATAAATATGGTTAGACAAGTATGTTGACTATTTTAGCTATAAATTATTCCACAGACAATAACTGTGATACACATTTTAACATTATGTCATAGGAAAAAAACAACTTTATACAATGTTTTTGTCTTGTGCTCCAACTGAAATCTCTTAAGATGTGTGCCTTCTTTTATTTTGTTCCTTTAAATATTTTTTCCAAGATTGGTTGAGTTTAGTAAAGTTGAACTACACTAGGCCTGAGTGTCCTCTCCAAAGCCTAAGTACCTCCTAGCTCAATTTTCTTTAAACACCCTCTCCTTTTTAAAACCTGATATCTTTAATATATCAATCATTAACTTTATTGCTATTGGCTTGTCTCAAACCTATAACAGGAAGTTAAAAGCATTTAACAGTTATAGGTGCTTAGCTAGCACTAGCAGTCAGCTGATCTGCGCCTCATTGTTCACTGCTAGTATATTTTCAAACTGAACAGTGTCCTTACCACATGGGTTGTTAAGTATTTTGATGTTGCCTCCAAGTTTTACCTGTAAGAATTTATTTCAGTATAGTGTATTAAAGATCACCATAGAAGGAGAAGTTAACAAATAGATCTTGTGTACTTTCTATGGGCCAGATACCACCTTAATATCCAAGCTTGTTTTAGAAAGCCTGTAAGGTAGCATGTGAGGATTTCCTGCAACAAATTACTGAGGAGAGAAAAAGAAAACTTACGCAGTCATAAGAATGGGACCCTAAAGAAAGATTAAATATAGATATTATAAAGACCTATATTTTAATTATTTTTATTTAATTTTCATCACAATCATACAAGGTAAATATTACTGTCCAGTTTTCATAGGTAAAGAAACTGTTCAGAGAAGTTCATTATCTTCCTAAGCCACAGAGATAGTAACAGTCTCATCTTAAAGTATAAGATGGCCGGGCGCGGTGGCTCAAGCCTGTAATCCCAGCACTTTGGGAGGTCGAGGCTGGTGGATCACGAGGTCAAGAGATCGAGACCATCCTGGTCAACATGGTGAAACCCCGTCTCTACTAAAAATACAAAAAATTAGCTGGGCATGGTGGCGCGTGCCTGTAGTCCCAGCTACTCAGGAGGCTGAGGCAGGAGAATTGCCTGAACCCAGGAGGCGGAGGTTGCGATGAGCCGAGATCGCGCCATTGCACTCCAGCCTGGGTAACGAGAGCGAAACTCCGTCTCAAAAAAAAAAAAAAAAAGTATGAGATATATTTGTCAGCCAGGTGCGGTGGCTCACACCTGTAATCCCAACACTTTGGGAGGCCGAGGCGGGCAGATCACCTGAGGTCAGGAGTTCAAGATCAGCGTGGTCAATATGGAGAAACCCTGTCTCTACTAAAAATACAGAAGTTATTACAGGTAATGGGCACCTGTAATCCCAGCTACTTGGGAGGCTGAGGTGGGAGAATCACTTGAACCCTGGAGGTGGAGGTTGCAGCAAGCCAAGTGCCACTGCACTCCAACCTGGGTGACAGAGTGAGACTCTGTCTAATAAAATAAAATAAAATAAAGATTATTCATCATACTCAGTGCCTTAAGTTCACTGGAATAAATCTTAGAATATCTGACTTATAACTTAACTAGACTACCAAAGAATACAATGTTGATTTAGAGATTTGTTTTAATTTTAACCATAATGTGCAACTTAGGAAAATATCAAGAGGGCTTAAAAATTTCATGTTATTTTTAAACATCACTTAGTATTATATTATAATCTATTAACGATTAGATAATGTCACAAATTCTTTACAGGAACACTGGGAATTTTTTAGCTATGTAATTGTAACTGTTCCACATTAAGCTGCAGGTCTATATCAAAGAAAATTCACCCAGATTTCCCTATAAATAATTATACTGCACTATTTTAGAGAATACGATAAAAGTACAACATTAAAATATAACTAAATATTTATTAGAATTACTCTAGTGTTTCATAAATAATAATATTGGTTCCTACCATATTAGCATCTTAAATCTTCAAAAATTGCATTTATTTAAAGTACTGGCATAACAGGAGTAGCTCTTATTTAAGGCAAATAAGAGAACATCATCAGGTGAGAATATATCTGATAGAGAAGAAAATGAGAAGTGCAAATCTCAAAATTTAGAAAAGGTCTAGTTTGACATAGTCTTCAAATATCTAAACAATTTCCATGAGATAAGTGCGACACTAGTTATTTCTTTAACATGTCAGTAAATCTGAATTTACTCTCAAAGAGGCTAATCCTTGCTTAATATAAGACATTCATTTATTTGGAATTTTGCGTGCATTCAGTCTGAACACTAACATTACAGAAATTAAAAGTAGTTAACTTTTTGAAAAGAACTGGTTATAACTTTCAAGAGTTTTATAATTCATGATAATATTAAATCTACATTAACTATATTTTTTTAAAAAATAAATGTATTCTCATAGGTAATCTGTTGGTTTTGAATTGGAATCATCTATTGAGAAACACACATAAAGTATGTTTTTAGGAATTATTTTCACCAATATTCCACTAAGAACATGAACAAAATGAGGCAGGTTCATATTAATGTGTATATTTATACACATGCCTGCTTTCTAAGATGTATGTGTTCTCATTCCTGGAAGGCATATGATTTTTATCCACATTCACAGCTCCCCTTATGTTCATGGAATACTCACGTTGCTCGACCGTAGAGACACACGGCCTCCGCAGCGTGCACAGAACTTGGTGCGACAGTAGGAGCAAAGATGGCCGCACCCATCAGCAAACTTTGTTTTATGACAGATTCCACAGGTTGGAGCATCATCTTTGTGCTCGCCCTGGTAACGCCGTGCTTCTTCCCCTATTTTTCTCACTTGTTCCTTATAGCTTTCAAACTGTTGATGCAATCTCCTAGGCAAAAGAGAAAATGGTAGCAAACTAAGTAAATGATGGGAGACAAAAACAAGAACAAACAAAACAAGAAATTTTTCCTAACAAAAAGGAAGAATAGCTATTTGAACTAAGGCAAAACATACAAAGCTATTTACCCCACTAACTGTACCGTCAAACGTAGGATATGTATTAGCATGATTCCATAATCCCAGTTTTGCTTTTTAGCACTGAACCATGTGTATGCAGAATCTATATAAGCACTGTTTGTCCCCAGAGGTGAAATTCTAGTATCTACTCCATGCCTCTGTTTCTTTCGTATTTTTAAAAATATTTTAACTGAGAGCTCAACACTTTACAACTACAATCACGTGTGCATATAACTGAAACAAAAATTACACAAAATATTTAGCCTACATACATATGATGTACTCTAATATTTTCTAACATATTCTAAATTTAATACTGAATATCATTCAAAAATAAGTTTGTCACAATAAATTGATTCCATGAGCCAGTATTTGAGCATAATGCATACTTTAAAAATCATGCTCAAATACTGGCTCATGGAATCAATTTACTGTGACAAACATTTTTGAATGATATTCAGTATTAAATTTAGAATATGATAGAATAGCCTGTCCTGTTGGAATTATAAGAAAATTTTAGATAATGTTGTCTCTGAAATGGAATCAATTATGCCTTTTCTAAATCAGTATTAGTGATCTGGAAAAATAACACCCTGAAAAAACATTTGTAATTGTTATGCTGATAAATCTGGATAATATACTAAAATCCTTTCAGGAGAACAAAATAATAAATATAGCTAATACAAAAAAATATTGTTTTAGACTATGTTGCTGCAAAATCTGTCCTCTACAAAATAGCTTCCTTTGCCCCCATTCCTGAAGGCTACTTATCTATTTGGCATCAAGTATCTAATTTAGTACAGTACACAGAATGTTAGCTTATCCATTATATTTGAGCTCCCAGTTCTTCCAGTTTACATTAAAAATTCTAAATCCTACCTTGTAGATATGCAGATTTTTACATAGTCCAGTTTTTCATTATCTTAATCAGGTAATATCCATGAAGCTTGCTAGCAACCACTCCTGATTAACTATTGACTGTGGGGACAACTAAAGCTATCTAGTGAAACTTCCCATTTGAATGTTCGCATTTAATGTAATTAAAGTCTCCTCCCATTGCCATCAGTTCAAATTCCAATCTTAAATCACTATAAATAGAACACAAGGACATCCAGTGAATCCTAAAATCCTAAAACCCAGTGAAAGGATGTCTTGATTTTGAAAATGAGAACTGAGGGTTGTCTTAAGCCTAGCCAATAGTCATTGGCTATTTCGCCAAAAGAAGAACTCTTGCTCAAATTCATCTGGGTATCTGAGCCAGTTTTCTGGATTTGAGTATTCCTTAGGACACAGAATACACAGATGCTATTGTTAATTCAGCAGTCAGTTCGATGTTCTCCATCTAAGATAACTGTGGGGAACTGATACTCCCTGGAAATAGAATCAAATAACTTAGGTCCAGGTACTGCAGTGTTTGAGGTACTGAGATTTCACTATATTTTCTTTTAATCTTAATAGCTCTTAAGCAGAACTTCTTTGATTACTTTAAAAATTCTCAAATTCCTTTCCTGCTTTGCCACTTGACACCTTTTCTATTTAGTTCCAATAGTTAAAGCAAAAATCCAAGCACTGGCATATACGAGTCTAGTTTAGGATCTGAAATATTTCCCAATGTAAAGGTGAGCTAATTTCCCTTCATAAAGGAATATATGTGATATTTCATTTAATGACTGCAAGATTATCTGGTGAATTTATTGAAGAGTATTTAATACATTCAATTTTTTATACTTTAATTATAATTAATCTAGGGTCAAGTTGGTAGAAAACAAGTATGGACATTTGTTATTTCAAAAGTTATCATGCAAAATGGCACTGGCAATCTTCTTCCACCAAAGAAAATAATTATTAAGGGATAGGAGCAAGGAAATACCTCTAATCAAAGAAACTCTAAGCATAAAGAGAGTGCATAATAAATATTTATTGTGAGAACCACCACATAAAATATATTTAAGTAAATATAAATGAGAAGGAGAAAGCCAGGCTAAGGAAAAAGTTTCCCTATAAACTTATTCCAAAATATAGAACATAATGCAGTTTGGGTATTGGCAAACTTTTCAGAAAAAGATCAGATTGTAAATATTTTATACTTTGAGGGTCGTGTAGTTACTTTTGCAACTGCTCAATTCTGCTGTAGTAGGAAAGTAGCCACAGATAGTATGTAAATGAATGAATGTAAATATGCTCCAATGAAACTTTATTTACAAAAATAGATGATACTCTAGATTTTGCCCATACAGCAGTTTGTCAGCTCCTGATTAGTATATGTTTTATGCTAAGATATAATGGTTTGAAAACTGAAGCTTCTTTGTGTTTTTAAATTCAAACATAAAGGAATTTTATAGGGCTCAATCAAAAGGGAATCTATTTCAGGAAACCTTTGCATGATATATAGATGCAGGGCACTGAGCACTGAGATAAAACCTTACTCTACGGCAGTCTCATAACATTTCATTTGGGTCACTGATAGACCAGCTAATATTTTTATTATGTATTTTTACTATTTCTGTACATAAAACCTCTCTTCTACCAAACAGTAAACAGTATTAGAAATGAACAGTTTAGCAAATAGTTCAGACATAAGCTTCCTTAGTAGCAGCCAATACACATATTTGCTGAATGGAAAATTTATGCATATACATATTATTTTTCTTAGCTCATTTTGAGGAAAAAAACATAAAATTTACAAACAAGTTCATATTGAGGACAAAATATCCTAATACACCCTACTTCACAAAACACTAAAAATTCTGGGTGTGATATTTAAAATAATAGCTTATAATATATGTTTGAGCTGGAGAGGAAGTATGCAAAATTCTCAAAGGACAAAAATGAAAGAGAAGCAGTAATTCCGAAAAATAACATATCTCTAAAGCAGAAGCCTAGGAACGTGTACTGAGGCTCGGTAATTAAGGAATAGGAGCAAGGAAATATCTCTAACCAAAGAAACTCTAAGCATAAAGAGAGTGCATAATAAAAATTGTTAAAACTGACCAAGAACTTCAGTTTTAACTCTTGTACACGTGATTGAAAATAAAATTTGAGTTAGGTATTCACCAAAAATAACTGAAATACAGTGCATGATATCCAAACCAGTAGCAGAAAAAATATGGAATGAGAAAAAAGTTAATCCAAAAGAAGATAAGAATTAAAATAAATAAATATATAAACATAGACAAAGCAGAACAATTAAATATTACAATAGGAGATGGTAAAAAAAACTAACACATGAGGAATCACAAGTGTTACACGTCACAAGCAGCATCATCAAATACAAAGATCATCACATTAGATTTTACAAATCTAGCTAAATGAAGTTTTGAAGAGACATACCCAAAATAAAAAGGCACAGAATGTTTGAAATAAAAGGATAGAAAAAAGGTAACCTAGGGAATATTAACAGAAACAGACAAGCAGACAAACAAAAGCTGATATAGAACTGAGATTAAAAAGCATTACTACAGAGGGTATTAAAAATGCTACTATTAAAAAGCATTCATTTTAGTTTGTACATGACAATGATCAACTTAATTGCGTATAACATACACATATCTATCCAGTAGATTAAACTCACTTGTTAATCTTGCTGTTGACTTCAGTGTGTACGTGTATAAAAATGCGTATATATACCTCAAAAGTACTAAACTTGTTTTATTTCTTAAGCTGGCAGGTGAGGGGTTATGTGATGTACATTTTATTTTTTCTTTACACATTACATATATGTTATATAATACTATTTTGTATGTATAAATGATTTACTATTGGAAAGAAAAAAGTTCTATCTCATCAAATAGCATTATATAACAAATGAGGGCTACATAGAATTGAAAAGATTGATGTGTTTGACAGCATTGAAACCTACGAAATAATTGACCAACCATGTCATGTAATTTATTTTAAAAAGACATACATATATTTAACCACATACGGTAACAATGTGAAGCAGATATTATTATGATATCATCCATTTTATTGATAAGGAATCTGATTATTGTCTAGGGCATTGCTTTTACTTTCTGCCTGAATATATATTGTAAATTCACATTCTTTATGTCTTATGTTTAGCTTATAAAAATGATAATAATTATGGATTAAGCTTGAAAATTAAAATGTTTGCGGAATCACTAATATGTCAACTATCAAGCAACGTCATCCTCTGATTGTGGCTATTTGATGACACAAAAAGCTTTGAAAAAACAAAATCTATGCTGAGGAGCTCATGCCATGAACGTCTACAAAGCTCTTACTCTTACTTAATAATATTTCCATTCGTTTTTCAACTCCTTCATATTATTTACTCCCAAACTTTGTTTTCTCAAATTCACTTCAAGCTACTATGTCCTCTTAAAAGACTCAAAATACTCTTTGATGATTTGTGAACCTTTTATGGGTGTACTAAGCACTCATGCATTTTAGCCTGTGAGGTCTCTTGGTGGTGACAGGTGGACAAGCAGCAATTGTTCCTTCTTTAGTTGGCCATGGCAAGTGAGTTGGTTAGATGAGACTTCTCCACTGAGGTATGACAGTAAGTTCTCTAGCTTCTCACTTTCTCCATGGGGGATCTTGGAGTAAGTCCTAAGGAAGACAGCCAAGAGTGGACAGTGACTTTCTCCCAAAGGGACATACCTAAGTGGCCTGGGGCAGCTTTTCACCAAGTGCTTCATCCCAAAGCTTATGAGGCCATTCACACAGGCATCATTCCAAACTCTAGCAGTAATCACATCCTTCTGAATGCTGGCCCATGGTGACCTGTACCCATCTATGGCCTCCTCTCACTTGTTTTAGAAATTCCTTTTTAGTTTCAGCAGCAGGCCACGTTTAAACTACTAGTATATACATCCCAGTGGGGAGTATAATGAGAGAAGAAAGAGCTTG